TCATCCGGATCGCGCGGGGAATACGCAATGAGCAGGCTGGAAATAGGGTCTCCACGACACCCACACTTTTCCGGATTTGTCCGGATAACGTACAACGGTGCGAGGGTTAACCACTCGATTTATAACTGCTGCTTGTTATAACTAACAGGATCGTTATAAGTGGGACAGGTTTATTAACGTTGTGTGATATGCTGTACCTACTCAGCGAGAATTGGTATATTTTTTCTGTTTAGCCCAAAGGTTAACTGACAGAGAATGCCCAATGGCATTAAGTTCACCTTAATGCCGTTGGATTGGCAAAAGGGACGCTACCTATGACCTGATGAGATACCTATAGCGGTGCAAAGTCCATAATAAATAAAAACCGAGCTCATAAAACCCCTTGAAGTGCCAGCACTCTGCATAATACCACATTTATATTGTTTAACAATCTCAAGCAAGTAAGCCTACGTGACTAACTAGATTAATTAATAGGTAGGTATATACCTAGATCAATCTCAGTAAAATATCAGTAAAGTTTTCTTGAAACATCTATCTATCCTCTCAACTGGCAGGCGTTAGCGCGCGATTTCCCCTAAACTAATTTTATCCTCAGCCATACGTTTTCAGGCACACCCTATCAAGAATATATCATCGTTCAGTTGATATTGTCCACTGCGAATGAGGCCGGGTAATAGCCTAGTATAGATGAGGGCTCCGCGAGATATTACACCGACGGGTGGTCAATTTATGAAGATTGAACTCCTAAGACAGGCTCCACAATAATGCAATCACCATAAATTCAGGATAACACTGGATAAAAACTAAGGTATTGACACGTAGGTTAGGAATACTTAAGTCAAGGAAATCTAAAGGTAATTTTAAAACATTTACATACTGACATGCAAGCATGCAACGCGCAAATGGAAACCAAGTGATTTGGCATTTTCAAAAAATGATACTGAAAATAGTCCTGAAATAAAAGTTCAATCTTTGAATATGTGAATAGTTCCGAAATACCATTTTTTAATTCCTAGTTTTCGACCAAAAAATCTGTTCATCATCATTTCAGCCATAGAATGTCCACTCTGAGGCCTCCCCCAATGATTTCCATGTTGACCGGTTGGTATAGCGGCCTGTTCCCAACGCCTCTTCCTGCTAACTTTATGATGTTCATAAAAATCTGTTATAAAAAATAAAATCAACCAACAAGCTCATTAAATTTTATTTTGTTTTATAAATATTAAATCACTTTTTGTACACCGACTACATTCTAGGCCCACCGTTCTCTTTGGCGAGCAAAAAAAGCAATCGTGCATCGACTCCTTTCAATTTATTGCATTTAATTATACGAATTACAAATTAGGTAGGTACATTGCGTTCCTATTACAAAGTACCTACTCAACAAGGTTACAGGCATATTGTTTGAATGGACTGCATCAGAAACGGCTAGGTCATTTGTTTTGATTGGTTAATCATATAGCTTAAAAATGCGTAGTTGAACAAATGTAACAATGGACAATGGCATGACGATTAGCCTCATTCAGAATTAGTGCATTTATAATCTACCTTGTTTCCAATAGAAACATTAGATCAACCATGTTGTGCGAATAACGAATATGAAAATAAGTAATAATTACATTTAATTTCATCTTTATTACCATCAGCTTTTTAATATGCGGTTTTTGTGGCGTACCTAAGTAACATACAATTTGCCAAAACTGGTAACTAGGAATATGTCCAGCACATTATTTTGTCGTAGGTCATCATACAACAGTTCAGTGAACTAGAAAATGAAGAATACCTGAAGTGTGCGGCCCATGGAAAATGGCGTGAAATGCAGTCCGCCAGTATTTGCAATGGCCTTTGCGTAAAAATGCTAATACGGACATAGTCTAAAAATGAGGTTTTAGCTTGGCAACGGTGAAAAATATGCAGAGCATCCTCTGGGTCGTAACGAATCTGCCTGAAAAGTCTGCTCATTTTTAACATGTTTTCATTGACTCTACCTGAAAGTCTCGTAACCAATCTTGATACTTAAGTGCTTACCTACTTATTGGAGTTAAACCACCTCCTATTAATTACCTATTGATAGATTTGTCTTTTTTAGTTTACTAGGTACTTTATGTAAGTAAGTAGTTCCTTAACAAAATTCGTGAACCCCCAATTATCTATTGGAAAATTAATTATATTATCTGAGCTAAATTGGGCCGATTGAGAACCTTATCCGGCGTTTTCAGTTAACTAATCATTGATCGAAGAAGCGGACAGACCGCAGACCTTTTTAATACGACTCCATATTCGAAGGCCGCCGACCCAGTACTTTCAACCTTATTTTAGTGTAATTAGTGAGCCAAGTAAACTGTTTTAGTACTTACCTCTCGTAGTAACAAATTTTAACTTTATTTGCGCCATAATAAGATGCAATGAGAGCGCAGAAAAAGCAAATAATGAACTAGAGAGCCACTTGGCGAAGTTTTATTGTTTAAAAGTCAAACGTACTATGCTATGGTGACACGAATCCATACTATTTGAAGCGTCTCTTTTATGTGTTACCTAGGTCATGTAACAATAGCTTTGACTCGAGACAGGGAAGTTATTAAATCTATAGTTAGCAGCATTTTATTAATAAAAGCAAAATATATTTATTTATAGTAATTACTTAAATATAACCAGAACAAATCAGTAACCTCCAATTGAACTTGTGACCGGTTATTTTTTCAACACAGTTAAATATTTATTTAGTTGCCGAAAGGCTTTAAAAAAAAACATCGCGGTTATTATTTCAGTTGCTGAAAAAAGTTTTAAATCATGGTTTCGTAATCGATAAGGTAATTTAAACTGCTAAAATACAAACAAAGGAAAAGGAATGATTAAATTGATTTAAGCAATCTTAATTCTGAAACCAGTTTGATACAATCTCCACAATTTCAAGTTCAAGGATTTCTGCGCGATTTCAATATCAAGAGCAATGTTATTTAAGTATATTTCATTTGTTAATGGTAATGAACTTATCTTACATTTTAACAAACATTGCATGTTGTAGTGCATTAACCCTTGAATGCCTGTTTTAATAGGTCTCACAGCACTAAAACACAGGTGTTCATATCAACTCATTACTTCAAACGTTCGTGCTCGGCTAGACTACAACATAGTGCTTAATTGAAACTTAGAGCTAGTCTATGTTAATTTCTAAAAGCTTGTGTGCTAGACATGACTTATTATGGCTGCAGAGACTGAATAATAATAATACCATTATTTTGGTGATACTTTTGTACCTATAAATTAATCCACCCACAAAAGTAAACGAGGGTCTCTAAGATCATTAAAGAAAACTATAAATCTTTCCCGGAAATTCAGTAAAATTAAGTTAGGTATTTTCTATGATCGGTTCTTTCTGACGATTACTTTTATTTTACTGAGAAAATGCCCTTTCTATAAGTGCTTTTTCAAGCTCACCCTACTTTTTGCCATGGCTTCATTAATCTATAACGACGTCTTAACACGCTGCCAACATTCTGCGGACAGAATAAAGCGTATGGCACTCATGCTAAAGTGTAATTTACATGCAGATGGGGTCTCAGCACTCTCATTCGACACATGTTTCGCGCACTGGCTCTCTTCAGAAGCTGTTGGCTGTATAACAAGTCGATTTCCATAAGTAACTCCAAGTAACCCCGTTTGTAAGGGAACTGTGCGAGATTGTATATAGACTGTAGCATTCGAGTTTGTTGTTCGATATGGAAATTACATACCTACTAGGATTTTGGGATTAGATATTTTAAAAGGTACTTACGTTTGGCAATTGTGGGCTGAATCGATGCACCAGAACCGGGTGATATTCAGAGCAACATCAAGGATGACATCTGCAAATTATTCATTCACAAATTTTCTTTCACTGGTGCCCTTAAAATTACACAATAAGGATGTTTTGGTACTCTCCAACTTCCGTGAGTATTACATAATGAAGTATTTTGTTTACACTTTAGGTAGGTATAACTCGTTATTCCTTTACGTAATAACACAGGCCCAGGGAAAAAAGAATATAATTTTGAATCGATACTCAAACCCGATTCAAACTCGAGCTTTGATTTGTTAAAAAATTAATCATTTAAAAGGATAACAACCTTAAATATTCTTGAAGGTATATTAATACTGTGGTGTCTTAAATAACTCGGCGCTACGTTTTTTCTCGTATGATTAAACTATTGCTTTATCTTTTCACAGCTAGGTGAGAATTAAATTACCCGACGATTTTAAATTATTTCCACAAACAAAAACATAATTCATAGAAATATACGATGTTTCTAGTGCTTCCAAATTAATATTATGAAGACATCCCAATTCCCATCTAGTTTTAGATTTAAAAACGTCTCTTCGAAAGTTCAGAGTGGCCTTAATATCTGTCTCTCAGTCAAAATATAATTAAGAAATATCGTTAAAATACACCGAAATGAACTTTCCTTGTAACACGGCTTAAGGCCCAGATTAAAACTTAGCCTGCTTTGATCCCATCCAATATTCCCTTGGTAATTAGAGGAATACAAATTCGCTTTAATATTTTTAACTAGCTGACCCGGCGAACTTCGTACCGCCTTATATCAATCTTTCTGAAAGATTTTCTTAATATTTTTTTCCGTAAGAACCATCCTTGGACTTCCACAAACATTTAAAAAAAAGAATTATCGAATTCGGTTCAGCCGTTCACATGTGATGCCGTGACAACGCGAAACGGGTTTCATTTTTATATATATAGACTAGGAAGCCGACGCGTTACGAAAACTCTTCGAATTGAATTAAAACAGGTCAACGATTAAACTGTTAAACCCTGTTGAAATATGATAAGCTCAAACTACGATTATTATATTCAGATAATGAAATTGTAGTTTAGTAACATAAATTCAAACTGTAGTTTAATAAAACCAATCGTTATGATATATGACTAATCAATAGTCTGTATTTATTCGAAAACTATCAGGTACAATACCTATAAATATCTATAACATTTGTGTTTCTTAATACTATTTATCACTGAAAATCTAAAAAAATGAAATGAAAAAACGGATGGATAAACTACTGTTAATCAGATCAATATTTTTAGGGTTCCGTAGAGAACCTTAAACCGTAAGGTATAAACCTTACCTTTATAAATGTATTTTTAAAATAATATTAAGTTTTAAATTCATCATCATTCTTCTTCTTTTGATTTTCGAGAACTCAAGTTGTTTCTAGGGAGTTCTTACGATGTCCTCACCTGAATATGGTTCATTTTAAATAAACCACCCTGTATTAATCTTTAAAGGCACGTTAGTTCTTATATCTTTATGCATAAGGTGCAGTATAAAATTTACAAAAATGAACCCCAGCCTATATACATTTGGCACAGGTTGTGAATGCTCGTCGCTTCAACAATTAAATGCTCCACTTGTCCTTCTGGTGACAGCGATAACGACAGCTGTTTATTTTTCGTTCTTACCTGTAACAATTGACACGGTTTTTAAAAGGATTTAAGTACCTCCTTCAGAAATGTAATTGAAGTTTTATCTACTCGCATTGTTGCGATTGCGACCGTTATTAAACTACAATTGTTTTTAAGTTGAAATTAGTTCAATTGCTAATCTTTGCCCAAAACGTAGAAGCTCTTGGCCTGCATCTCAATGGCACATGATGATTAGGTGGAAGGTGGAAGCGAGTTTCACCTGGAATTTATTTTATTTGTGGCTTCATTAAACCACACGATCCTCTAAAGTCCAGTCAGTGTTTTGTTTCGGCAGTTGGAGGTATTATAGCTAACTCCTTTGTAAATCTTATTATAATAATATTGCCTTGTCTTACTTGCTGACGTTCAAAAACATCACTTATTTAATTTCTAGGGATTTTTTAACCTCAGGTATGTAATCAACCGCCCTGTATATTGCACAACCCTATTCACCATCCCATAAATAAAGGTAGCGGGAAGGCGCTGGATGCAGGCCGCTACCAACCGTGCGATGTGGAAGTCATTGGGGGAGGCCTATGTTCAGCAGTGGACGTCCTGTAGCTGAAATGATGATGACTCACCATCCCATAAAAGTAGCAGGAAGGCGCTGGATGCAGGCTGCTACCAACCGTGCGATGTGGAAGTCATTGGGGGAGGCCTATGTTCAGCAGTGAACGTCCTGTGGCTGAAATGATGATGATGACTCACCATCCCATAAAAGTAGCAGGAAGGCGCTGGATGCAGGCCGCTACCAACCGTGCGATGACGTGCGGGAGACCTATGTTCAGCAGTGGACGTCTTGTGGCTGAAATGATGATGATGATGACTCACCATCCCATTCAGCCGCTGCCTTATATGCTGTAGATGCTGCAGCGCTTGCTCGTTGGTCCTTTCCCCGCTCTCGACGGGGCGTCCGCGGCCCCACGACACGAGCGGGTCGTACACGAACGGACCGATGACGGACATCAGCGCGGCGGTCTGCGCGCGAAGGGCCCGCATGACTGCTTCACAGCTTTTTCTAGAAGAAATTGTAGTGTGTAAAGCTTCAAACACCGCGATCATAGGCCAATAACAGGTCGCGCGACCCATGACAGTCCGCGCGGCGGATTATTTATAATATTATGTAAAATGCATGATTTGATAAAACTAGTAATTGACTATGAAATTTTTGCATGTCTTGTAGACGAAACATGTTGAACCTGATTGTTTTTATCTGACATCTGTATTGTACCATGTTCCTGTGCAAATAAATGAATTTGAATTTGAATTTGTCTGTGATTGGCCTATGATCGCGCCGTGATCGCACCGGCGATGGCGATCTGCACGCGTTGGTGTGGTTGAAGCATTACAGACGACAGGACGTCCAGTTTAAACACTGTGGCGTCTTATCTTACTGCAATAGGAGCGATTTTGCAACAAAAATGTACAGCCTGATGATCTGTCGCTGACAATCAATCACAAAAGTGTCAAAAATCATAAACGAGTAATTGGAATAAACTAAAAATCTCGAGTTAGTTTGTACAAAACCGAGAGCATTATTCTTACACCATTTTTGGAAATAGGTATTCAATCTTTTTATTAAACCAAGTCCAAAACTGTTCGAGCTTTTACGTTATTCCAATTTAATTTTGTGTATAAAAGCTCATTGAAATCTAATTTTAAGACTCTAATTACTCGAATTCTAAGATTTAAAGTTAAGACCAATCAAAACGTTCAAACTACTTCATGTTTAAATTGAGTTTTGATTGTATTTCTGGAATACTTGCCTAAGTATGTTAATCAGTTTTTAGAACTCTCAAGTAAAAGGTTGGAGCCGATCCAAAGACAAGTAAAAGCAAATTATTCGGTCTTAACAAAGGAATCGAATTTTAAACTGAGCGAATAAGGCGCTATTCTTACTACTACACGCATAAAATTTGGTGAAAAATAAATATAAAAGCTTGGCGAAAATAAATAAACAGTAATAATACATTGAGAATCGATAGAGAATCTGTAATGGATGGACATCAATGGATGATCTATGCCTATAGTAATAAAGGGTCTCTTTAACACTAACCTATACATTCCTTCATGTTTGAGGGGTCCCATGGCAGCCTCCATATTGTGGGTAAGCCTGAAAGGCACCCGCTCCGGCCAGTCAAAGGACTCGCCTTTATTGAAGAGGCAGTTAAAGTCCACGTGAACTGTGTCTCCATTGGTAGAGTCGAACGATATGTTCTCGCCGTGCCTGTCGCCGAGACCTACAGAAATCGTAGTCGGGATAAAATAAAAAGCTCGTAATTTGCTCCTTTTTCAAAGGCTGAGTTGCACCACCTTAATTCAACCGTCATCATCATCATCATCATCATCATGTCAGCCATAGGTCGTCCACTGCTGAACATAGGCCTCCCCTAATGCTTTCCAAGTTGATCGATTGGTAGCGGCCTGCATCCAGCGCTTCCCTGCTACCTTTACGATGTCGTCGGTCCACCTTGTAGGTGGACGTCTCACGCTGCGTTTTCCGGTACGCGGCCTCCATTCCAGAACCTTGCTGCCCCATCGGCATCGATTTCAACCGTAAATATAACCATTACCGGTGTTTTATTCTGTATGGAGTTTGACATATGTAAAAGTTAAAAGTAAGATGGTGCAACCAGCCTAAGATTAAACTGAGACCAGATGAAACTTGAAAGTATAAAATGTGATTTTATGACTATAACAAATATTTGGTCGCATTCTCATTCTACCAAGATAGTACACAGGATTTAACTCATGATTATTCGACGTTATTTGCAATTGAAATAAAAAGACAAAACTATAGTACTTCTAAGATATCTACAACGCAGTAAGTGCAATCGTTATAGGATATTTGATAAATCTAATATTGCTAGCACTTACCCAAAATGTAGCCAACCATTGACATCACAGCTGTTGTCCTGATGTAAGCAGATCTTGCTTGGTACCTTTAACAAACAATAAACCATTACTATCATCAGCATCATCGTTTTATCCAGTTGCTGCTACGGGACGCAAAAGAGACTTGCCACTTTTTGATCTTGATGAGACGTACCAGCTAGTTCTTCAGATCTAGTGGATCCAAGGAACTGAATTATTTTGTCAACATCAACGTGACCTCCACTCAAGAACTCATTTAACTTGCGACAATTTTAACCATGTCCATTACTTTGGTCCTCTATCAAATGACCTCGTACGATAATTGTACATACAGCACATGAAGCTAAACACTGAGGTCTCTCATGATATATAATAGGAACGAAATTACAACAAAAATATCTAACGCTGTCGTTTGTACCTACATACCTACTATAAAAATATTTTCAGTAATGTCATCACACTAACAATTCCCATCGCGTAAGGAAAACTAATTTGCAACCGTGTGAATCAAAATTTTACGGAAAGCACCATCACATCGCAAATGAAAAACATCAATTTATACGCAAACGTAAAATCCAAGTTATTATCAAACGAACGAGTGCGAAAATAAGTTTGTAACATATTATTATGACCCATAATAGGCATTTAGCCTTCACAGGTTGACTGTTTGTTCGGCAAATTCACAATAACACATACATTTTGAGAAGAATCAATCCTTGCTAACTAGATATAACGCGCTATTACGAAATGTAATGATGGATGCGACATTGATTATTATCATTTCAATGATAGTGCTTAGAATTGATGTGGTTTGGTCACTATCACATTAAAAACCTACAGAAAATTCGCTGAATCATGTTTACTTGTAAAAATGTAACAAACAAAAGCTACTTTCGCATTTATAAGATTAATTTTAAACATACTCGATGATCAGCCTTATGCAAGGCTATGACATCAGATTTGAGTACTTGATGCTTGAGTTAAGATGATAAACATGTCGTTAAGTTATTTGGTCGACATAACTATAATTTTTTTTCTTCTTCACGCTACGTGGCTCGCTGATTGCCATATTTATTTTGTTACATACATTTAGTAGCAGCTCCGATTAGTTTCTGTATGGATAAATATTAGAATCAGTTCCCATGGTCAAGGTTCATTTATTATTTTTATTTATTTTAAATATTGCATCTTCCTCAATGTAGAAAATTGCTTCATAAAATTTCACTTCAGGAATGGTAAAGAGCGTAAGTAAGTGACGATATTTTTTACAGGGTACAGATCAAGTTACTCGGTATCAAAAGGTAACTACACAATTACCGCTTCAGCACTACGATAACTACCAAGAAACCGCGCGATTGCTGTCTGAAACAAGACCTAAGTTGGGTACTAGTCCAGTCATTATAGTAAGTTCACCTCGGAATTCGAGATACCCAGCTGTAAGTCTGTAAATACGTGTATATTGACACCCTAAAAGTTGTCTCAAAACCTACATATGGTAGGGTGTAAGCAACTATTAAATTTCAAGGTCAACGGTCACAAAAATCGTTTTTTTGCGCTTTTTTTAGAAATATCTCATTTCCTGTGGGTTTTTTGCTATTTGTATTTATTATCAATATTGTAGAATACTAAATTCTCTACAAATTTTGTTTAAAAACTTTTTTTATACGGTGAACCGTTTTCGAGATAGAGGGCGGAGAGCGCGCGGTCACTGCATCACTTCAGGTCTACTTAAGCGGTTTAGATTTTTCATACAAAAGGATTTTCCCGCTAATTCCTGTGGGAATTTCGGGAATTCCTTGTTGTAACTAAGCTTTGAGTTTACTAAGGTACCTACATGCCAAATTTCAAGCGTCTAACTTCCGTTAAGCGTTTAGATTTTTCATACAAAAGGATTTTCCCGCTAATTCCTGTTCCCGTGGGAATTCCTAAGTATATTATAACCTGCCCAGGTGTATGAAGAATAATTGTACCAAGTTTCGTTAAAATCCGTCGAGTAGTTTTTGTTTCTATAAGGAACATACAGACGGACAGACAGACAGACAAAAATTTTACTGATTGCATTTTTGGCATCAGTATCGATCACTAATCACCCCCTGATAGTTATTTTGAAAATATATTTCATGTATAGAATTCTGTCCGTCTGTATGTTCCTTATAGAAACAAAAACTACTCGACGGATTTTAACGAAACTTGGTACAATTATTCTTCATACACCTGGGCAGGTTATAGTATACTTAGGAATTCCCACGGGAACAGGAATTAGCGGGAAAATCCTTTTGTATGAAAAATCTAAACGCTTAACGGAAGTTAGACGCTTGAAATTTGGCATGTAGGTACCTTAGTAAACTCAAAGCTTAGTTACAACAAGGAATTCCCGAAATTCCCACAGGAATTAGCGGGAAAATCCTTTTGTATGAAAAATCTAAACCGCTTAAGTAGACCTGAAGTGATGCAGTGACCGCGCGCTCTCCGCCCTCTATCTCGAAAACGGTTCACCGTATAAAAAAAGTTTTTAAACAAAATTTGTAGAGAATTTAGTATTCTACAATATTGATAATAAATAAAAATAGCAAAAAACCCATAGGAAATGAGATATTTCCAAAAAAAGCGCAAAAAACCGATTTTTGTGACCTTTGACCTTAAAATTTAATAGTTGCTTACATCCTACCATATGTAGGTTTTGAGACAACTTTTAGGGTGTCAATATACAAGTATTTACAGACTTACAGCTGGGTATCTCTAATTCCGAGATTCTTACCTAATTTAAGCTTAAATGACTGGACTATACCTATTCTGAATTTATTACTGTTATTTAACCCTTTCAGAGACAGAGCCGTACAGAGCAAAAAAATGCATCGGTTTTGGTCTTTATGCCATCGCAATAAAGTTCAAAATATAGTGGCAACATTCAGCCACCACCAGGTGAAAGGTCTACTCACCATCCATAAGGGTCCGAGAACACCCGTCGGAACCACTCCTGGAAGACAGGCGGATGCCGCGGTAGCAGTTGTTCCTCAAACATCTTCCTCTTCTTTTCGAACGGGTCTTTGTTGGAACACATCATCTGTTTCAACTCCCGGTTGCTGGTGTGAAGACCTGGACAATGGTTGGTAATCAGATTTGTTATGGCGGATTTACACTGCGCGGAAATTAGCCTAGTCAAGTCAAAAAATCAATGGAGTGGGGATGAAATTCATTCATTTTTCATCCCCACTCCACTGATTTTTTGACTTGACTCGGCTAATTTCCGCGCAGTGTAAAAGCGCCTTTATATTGTGATCGGACTATGCGACGCTTCATGGCGCCTATATCATATGGGTCAATGGGACTAAAAGCCTAAAGTGTATGAAGACGTGAATTTTCCGATAGTCAATCAAGTTAATTTAAGCCCACACTATTTGACAACAAATCAGCAGTTCCCAGATTGATGTTATTTACTCTTTTTCAACACTATAAAAAGCTTAATGTTCTTGTGGGGTCTTAATTTTTCTTCGTAGCATGGTTTAAAACCTCGATAATTTAGCTAAAAGCTAACTGCATATAGTTGACGGTTTTTAAGGTTTTCACGAGCATAATAACACGCTTTGCCACAATAAAATAGCAGTCACACTCATACATTTAATAAACATTATCGTACCGTAAAAGGTATAGTCGATAGGTGGTCAACATAATCGTACCGTACCTTTTTGCTTATAAATGTGCATCAGAATCGGCCTCAAGCCGACCAAATTCGGCACCCATTCAATAAGTCCGCATTCCTCATTCAAAGGCAGCACGCTATACGTCCTGATATACAGTCTGCGACGACGGGTCTCAGGCGCATCTTGTAAAAACCGATTCACCACCGCATTGAATTCCATAAGGCGAAAATCTTTGCGCAAATCGTCACGGGGCTTCAGCATTATTATGTAGGATTTCCCGTCGGAACCTTGAAGAGAAGTGTGAACATATTATGCCTAATAAAGGATATTTCAATTGACACTATTTTAGACTCTAATGAATTCTGATTAACGTCTAGACTCCAGCCAGGTAAATTATGAAAACACGAATTTAGTTGTACATTTCAATATAGATTTATTGAATCATTTAAAATGCTAATCGTTCAATTAGACTCTTTGGATACCCTCGTATTCTAAGATCAGCAACAAATAATAATAACTTGTTGAAATCCTGTAAATTTCCGTAATTGACAGGGTTTTAACAAGCAATTGATGATGTTTTAAATTTTATCTGATTTTTCTTCACCATGAATCGAGAGACGAAATGTTGTCTAACTGCCATGTAAATTTAAACAAGCTGTTAAGAAAATAGGTACTTTGAAAAACGATTGAAAACAATCTTGAGTCAGTTTAAAGCAAGCCTTTGGTTAGTTGATTTTTTGTCGGCCGTTTGGTGTAGTGGTTCGAAACGGACTACTATTCCGGAGGTAGCGGGTTCGATTCCCGCACAGTACAAACATTTGTGTGCATGAACATATTTGTTTGTATTGGACTGGGTGTTCTCTATGTATACTAAGTATGTATTTACAAAAAAAAGTATTTAAGTATGTTCATATCCGTTGTCTAGTACCCATAGTACAAGCTTTGCTTAATTTGGGACTAGAAGCGCAGTGTAAAATGTCTAAGGATATTTATTATTATTATATGTTTGTACGCTTTGGAGCTCACGGGTCAAAAGTGGCCCGGTCCTTTATAAGGCTTGCGTGGGGATACAGATCCAACACGTAGAGGTCGTTTTAAGTTATTATTATTTTCAATTTTCTTACTTAATCGAGTTTTCATAATACAAGCCATTATGTCATAACTTTTCTACATCAAGTTTATTGTTTTTATATGTACCTCTCAAAGTAACTTTCCGGGGTTTCTGCAGCGATGGTAGTATCGTGATTTGCTCTTCAACTCCGGCGATATACACAGGCGGTTCCACTGGTATATTGAAGTCCACGCGTTCTTGCCTCGCCGCTTTTGAGGGTAGAACGATCTTGCAGAACTCTTGGAATGGCATCATTATGTGGCTGAACGAGTCGCTTGCAAGGAGACGGGGTAATGTGCGGACTAGGGACGATACTGTTGTGGTCTGTACATAAATTTGGTTACTATTGTGGTTTCAGATTTGACAGATTATAGTATAACGTAAATCGTATATCACAATAACAAAATGTATTTTGATGTTTGTAGGTACGGACGAATTAATAACTAACAAAAAAGTCACACAAAAAATAAGTGCTTCTTTTTATAAAAATAAGATTGATCGATTTAGCACTAATTGTTTGTTGTGTGAAAAGTTGTATTGAGACCTTCAGACAAAGTAATAAGATTTAAAATATGGTGGCAACTACAAAGCCACGTAAAGGGTAACTGTAACACCATATATTGCTCTTGTCACACGCTTGACATTAAAAAATCAATAGTCAAAAAAGTCTTATAGGCACTGTTTTTAAGAGTTATGTCTGCAGACATCAAGCTAAATAGCTAAAGTTCATAGATCTACCTATCGACTATACCTTTTAAACAAACCATAAAGCAAAAGAGATCACTCACCGACTCAGAAGAAACGATAGGCTTATTGCAAAGCTCAATCAGCTTCTCAGCCAGCTGCGTAAAGTCGTTCACCAGTTTCAACATATGTGGCTCTTTAAGACGAGGGTCTGAGAACACGTCGGCACACCGCTTCATGCGTTGAGGGTAGCTCGACTTTATTACACACATCATCATCCATAACGTGTGTTGAGGGTAGGCTAGGATAAGCTTCACGATTATTGCCTTTAGTTGCAGGTATACCTAAAAATATATCGATTTAATAACAATGGCTTTAAAAAAATATTTAATAGACGTGTTTTTGTCATCGGCGAGTGTGAAAGAGACCCACGCACGTTTGTCTCACTTTGACGTCACAGCACAGGTACGACGATATGGAAGTAGTATTTAATCATATTGTAAAATCATTTTTTGACTTCGATAAATTAAAACCGCTCGATATTCAACAGTTGAACATTCAATCGTCTAATCTTTAGAGTAGACGCACACCGTTGATTTTTCGTCGGCCGATAGTTTAGTCAGGCAGTTGATCAGTATGGGCATGTATGGGAGTGCGCACACTACGCCGATTCGATTTGGCCGATTCTTCATACAAATTAAAATCGGCCACAACTATCGGCCAACTAAAAATCAACGGTGTGCGCCTACTCTTAATGCATGTAGTTTTTAAGGTTCCGTAGTCCTGACAAGGAACCCAACCCCACTTGGACAATTTTTTTTCTAATATTACAAAATATACCTCTTTTACAGGGTGACAGATTCTCGACACAATCTGCGAGAAAGCAGACAGGTAGAGGTATAGAGGCAGCCTCTCCGAGTAAATGTTTATGATCTCCGTCATCTGGGCTAAAACCGAGTGAGCGCTGGTATCTGATGACGTCACTTCCATGTCCAGCCTGGGGAAATAGAATTTAAATTAATATTTAAAACCAGAATTTTAAGGAAAAAAGGATCATTGTTGGACGGTCGCAAAACATTATCTATAGAGTCAGTCTTATCGACAAGACAATGGTTTACAAATAATAAATGAGGTTTACGACGTCCAGTCTACATTAATCTATACAGAAATTTCAAATCGCAAGCAATATTTATCTGGCCAGGTTATTTCAAAAAGTAATGGTAGAGTTACGTTATTTTTTTGGAAATAAGACAAGAGCATATTAAACTCACTGTAGCTTCTATTTTGGTTGTAACAAGTGTTATTTTGCAATGGAAATGTTATAATCTGATGTGCTGTCGACTGTCCATAACAAGTAGGATAGCTACAGTGATTGCAAAAATAAAATCGAAAGACAACCAAAAAATACTTACCAAATAGAAAGCATTCTGGGCATACTTTGGTACAGATACTTGTGTCCGTACTGCAAGGCTTTGCCGTAGCTATTCAAGGCGTGTAACCGCCGTGTCCACATTAGGGTGTGGTTGTTGCTCGTATCAGAACTGCTCACCTTTTCGTAATACGAACCTAGGCATACCTAAAACAAAAAAGAACTTATTGTAATATTATTAAGGCTCATGTTTGAATAAGGCCAGGTTTCTACTAAAGCGGAGAGGAGAAGTGAGCAACCAATCAGATTTCGATATTTTCACAACACTTCTCCGCTTAGCTTACGCTAATCTGATTGGTTATTCAAACACATATTATCTCCGCTTCGGGCCTAAATTGATCCTTAACTTTAGAGGTTAAACTCTTTATAACATCATTCGATTTAACGACAAACTTCTTATATTGTCGACATTTCTGGACTTTTCTATTCGCTCTACCGGCCACTCTCTATCTATAACATCGAGAAATGTTCAGTCCTTTAAGTGTCGTTATAAAGAGTGTACACTGTCCCCCTTATTAATAAAACTACACCCTAGTTGAACTCTTAGTATGGAAATGTCATTTTAATCTAGTGTTCATCCCAGGTGTAACTTTTTATTAATAAGGTGGTGTATGTATTTTTATAGTTATTCTTACCAAACTCTTCTCCCATTGCTTGAACACCTCAACAGATTCCTTGTAGTAACCAATGTTGACATCAACATCAACGTTCGTAGTTTCGTCATTGTATTTCGCTATGAGTAATTTGGCTTTCGCGCATATTTTCCTGAAAACACTTCTTGTTAATACTCTGTCTTGCAATTCGTTACGCAAGTAAATAGTGTTTAATGGCACATTTGCATGTTGACTCACGTTTTGAGTTCATCAATAGTATAATAGTGTTATTAATTAACGAAGTAAATGCTAAGTTTTACGTGGAAACTAATTTCTGAGTCAGTTTCAAAACAAGCTCTATGGTTATCCTGATACAGTTTTTTACCGACCGAAACATCAAAATCAAGCAAATATAGGTAATATTTAAATGTTACCTATCAGCGTATCGCGTTAAAACCTGTTTAAATTAATTCAATTATGCAACGCAAAAGTTTAAAATCTTTATTCTATTTCGACGCGATGGTATCGGGAAGTCTATGGTGCAGAATACCTATAGGCTATAAAATATAATAAGATGACACTTGACATAATAAGACATGACCAAGCATACAAATCTGAAGAACATTTATTTGAAGTCTCGCTGACGTTTGACTTCCCTAAGACACCCTCCTGTACAGCTCTCATATCTCAAGTACTGACTGAGAGTTAGATCTAAATTAGGGATGTTATGGATATCTAGTTTCGGTTATGGATACGGTTAGGGATGTAGGAATAATACTATACCGGTTTCGGTTACGGATATCTGTTCTTTAGAATGCAATTTGCAATAGTTGTCCACCACGGTTCATTCATAGCCGCACATTTTACATTGAGTAAAAAGTAATAAAAAATAAAAATTTATACTAGATGGCATTATAAAAGTAAATCAGACTGTTATGTCTTTACATATAATGCTAAACAAAAAAACTATTTGAACTGCCTACATCCGAAACTATCCGAAACTTTTGAATCGGTTACGGTTTCGGATATTTTTTATTTCGGATATCCGAAAGTTGCGGTTACCCTGATCTAAATAATATAGTTAATATGTACTTACTTTTGTTCCTTCGTCAGTTGTTCCAGGTTGGGATACGCGTCTTCGAGGCCTCGCCGCAGTGTCGTGAACGCGTGGTCTTGCTGCCCTCGCGCCCAGTACATTTTGGCTTTCTCTATGAACAACTCCTCAGGTCGATACTCTTCCGCGTTCAGAACGTACATGTAGGACTGTGCAAAGAATATTGAGAGTGTAAATAATGTAGACTGATAAGCACACACATTTTGTACTTTATTGCCCGATTAGGGAACCGGCCCATGCTTATTAGGGAAATAAGGTACCCGTGTAAGCCTTTTCATGTAATAATTTTCAAAAGATGGTGGCAATCGTAACGTCAAAAATTTGGATGTAAAAATCGGTAATTTATGGCCAATTTACTGCTGTTCATTGTCATTTGTCTTACGTTATTCGCATGACAGATGACAGTTCGGGAGTAAACGTCAGATTAGCGTGACGCGTAGTAGGTTACGCGCGCTTTTAGGCTTAAAAGAGTGATTTGTTTGTAATTTTCAAGGAGTTACCTGTTGCAGAATGCCTGCTTTCCTAGCGTGCTTCGCGCTTTGCAACCAAAGGTCGCCAATGCATGCCTTCAGAGTATTCGCAGCGTTGGGGTGAGTAGGCGTCAGTAGTTCCTAAAAGTAAACAATGATAGTTTATTATTATTCCTATAATCATAGTAGTATAGTCCGGTCCCTGAGAACGTAGAATTTTGTCCAATGACCCCAAGTTACCTTTCCTTATCGCTCGCGCGTAATTATATTGCTGGTGCGCTCGCACAGTCACTGCTACTGCCCGTCGCGACAGCAATATAATTACGCGCGAGCGATAACTTGGGGTCATTGGACAAAATCCTACGTGCTCCGCGACCAGACTTTAGTAAGGTTGTTGTAATTGTAAGCCATGTGCCGTAAGTAATAACATCCCAACCCATTATTCCCGTGGATGTCGTTAAAGGGACAAATATTCGAAAATCAATACAGAATCGTCAGCTTGGAGATTGTCCGCCAAATTCTAATGATGAAGATCTAACTGATGATGATGAAGGGAACGCCACTCCTCCAGTATTTGTCGAGTGTCACTGGAGCTTGTTTATCACCATGATGATGATTATGAAGGGACTCACCTTAGTTTGCTGCAGCAGTATCCTCCGCAGCCTCAGAAGTGGCTCGACAGTTCGCACGTCAGACTGCACTACAGTCAGGCGCCGGCGCCACTCGTCCAGCATTTGTTCCAGTATCACTGGGGCTTCCTTATCACCATGATGATGATGATGATGATGATGAAGGGACTCACCTGTTTGCTGCAGCAGTATCCTCCGCAGCCTCAGAAGCGGCTCGACAGTTCGCACGTCAGACTGCACTACAGTCAGGCGCCGGCGCCACTCGTCCAGCATTTGTTCGAGTATCACTGGAGCTTGCTTATCACCATGATGATGATGATGAAGGGAGCTCACCTTAGTTTGCTGCAGCAGTATCCTCCGCAGCCTCAGAATCTGCTCAGACTGCACTACAGTGCCACTCGTCCAGCATTTGTTCGAGTATCACTGGAGCTTGCTTATCACCATGATGATGATTATGATGATGAAGGGACTCACCTTAGTTTGCTGCAGCAGTATCCTTCGCAGCCTCAGAAGCGGCTCGACAGTTCGCACGTCAGACTGCACTACAGTCAGGCGCCGGCGCCACTCGTCCAGCATTTGTTCCAGTATCACTGGTCCTTGCTTATCACCATGATGATGATGATGATGATGAAGGGACTCACCTTAGTTTGCTGCAGCAGTATCCTTCGCAGCCTCAGAAGCGGCTCGACAGTTCGCACGTCAGACTGCACTACAGTCAGGCGCCGGCGCCACTCGTCCAGCATTTGTTCCAGTATCACCGAAGCTTGCTTATCGCCGTCGTTCAATTGTTTTAGCCTGTAAAGAGGCATTATCTATTAGCACAGAATAAGTACTAATATTTACTTCGCTATTACATAAAAACTAACATCTAACATTTTAGACTAAGAGCTAGTGAACGCCAGACCTACGTCATTTTATAAAAGCTGAAAGTTTGTCAGCGTATGCTTCCAATATAGGTTATAATGTTGGTGCATTATGAAGTTTGGGTTATCGTGGCTTTGGCAGCTACCCTCAAAAGATTGTCTGGCAAGGAGTTGGAACTGTCAAACAACTTCTAATCATTGGTAACAGGGTGGCATTCGCAAAATAATACAAATCAGTAAAAACAATCATATTTAATGCTTCAAAAACGTACCAGAAACTCACACTATAACACATACCTTCCAAAAACTTCCTCAGTATGCCTCGCTTCAGTGATAATATGCAGGCCCAGTATACTCTGGTAGCCGCTTCGCAACGCGCTTTCCCCTTTGCTCTCTCCATCCATCTGGGTGAGAAGACGAGTGGTGGCGATCTGACATGCCTTCTCGAAGGAATCGTGGTCTTGAGCGCGGTAAGCCAGGAGTATGCGACCCATTTGGAGGCCCCAGTTTTCGCGGTTTGCTGGCTAAAATAATAAAAATCATGGTTAGGTGTAATAGATGGGACTACGATCAATTTAATCTGAAACCTCTATTGATTATTTTAATATCTGAAAAATTATCATTGACTTGGAAAAGAAATCTTGCTCCTATAGAATCACATGTTGCCATGGTTACCAAAGTCATGTGAACCTAGCTTGCTTTTCAACACAATATGATATAGAACATTGAATTCCATATAACCATAGAGAGCCACGATTCCACAAAGAATTGTAACCTCATGTTCAAAATTAAAAGCAAAACAAAGAAGCAACCTGCTTTTTCACTTGTTAGAGTAATTTATTTATTAATTTTCATAACTTACAATAGGTTTCTTGACTAACTCATCCAACTGGTCGAATCTTCCAAGGCGCCACAAAGGTTCTGCTGCCATTTCCAAATTGCTGTTTTTAGTCTCGTGCTCGCTTAGTAACCGGTACGCCGTGAACGGCTGGTCTAAGCCTAAGTAGCAGTCTATCATGCCCTGGAAATCGCATTAGCATAGTTCCGATAAAAAGTCAAAACACTATACAGAGTTCTCTCTCTCTTTCTCTCAACTGTTGTAGGCAAGTAAAATGTCATTAGATAAAAGTCAGTCGTGTGTATAGACTATAGACCCAATATACCCTACCCGTGACATTGACAGCGGAGCGCCACCGTCAATACCGGATCGCTAGTTCCGATTTTTGCCATGTTGGAAACTATATATTTGAACGATGGGGGCGCCCCCCTTTCAATGAATTTGGTGGGACAGTTCAGTTTAGGTCATCTATTAACTTGTATGGATGACAGATTGGGTACTGGCTTGTGACGTCATTACAGTTTTAGTCCATCCATTCAATCCATATCTAATATAATGACTTGAATAAAAATCATTATCTTGTACGACACATTTTGTCGACAAAGTCATTCGTAATACATACCTGTAAACTATGCTTGTCCAATGGGCCTTCTTGCGCTAGCCTCTCGTAACACAACGCCGCGTCTTGCAGCCTGCCTGTTACCACTTGCGTGAGTATCAACTCTTTCAACGAAGGCTCGGATCTTTTTATCGATAAAATACCTGTGAAAACGAATAATATTAGTCATCTTTCGTCTCTGCCGACTGTAACAAGATTTTATTCTGAAGATTCAGATCACTAACTTTAAACTTTTAATCCTAAGGGATTAAAAAAGGTTACACTCGAGTTGAACACTATTTTGAACATAGTTTGTTGAACCATGTGTCTAAATTATAGACTGCTGTGAAGTCTCACTCATTTTTAAATGTCAAAATTTTTTAACCTTATTGTAATAAGAAAAAATAATAAGGTAACCATCAAATAATGCATTTTCCGACTGACAGAAAATTAACAAACTTTTCTCACCTGCAACGGAATCGGGTTCGTCCAACAAGGCGTATATTTCAGCCAGCAGTGGCAACTGCTCTTGCATTTTGTCTTTGTTTTCGTCCATATACAATTCCAGATACTGCAAAGCTCGTTCCAACTCACCACACGCAAAATTACCGCGAGCGATTGTGAGTTTATCGAATTTCTCCACAAATGATGATATAGCCCTGAAAAAAGACAAAATATTGTTAGTTTTTACTATTTATTTATTTATTTTGTATCCATAATAAGGTTGAAACTTATTACATACTTTATTAAGACTTTAATACTTACTTGTAATTCTCGTTTTCCATTGGCCGTGGTTTTGTATGACACCATTCCAAAATCCATCTATTCAGAAAGTCTAATAAGGTGTATATTGTCTTGCAGCATTTGCTCTGAAAAAATACAACAGCATTAATATTCGTCAACAAGCATTGCTCTTTTTCTTATGAATATAGTGCGAAGAGGATAGCATAATTGGGCGAAAACTATGATATTTCTTTTTCGTTAAAATTGATTATTACCTGGTTTCCTTCCTCCGCTTGGCCCGAAATAGCGTTAGGCGTCATTCCTACGTATCGCAGTATCTTATTCTTGGCTGGATTATTTGCTATCAAATTATTTTCAATGCTTTCTAGCCCTGTATGTAATAATACATTAAAATTTATTACATCCCAATATTCAACACCGATATTGGGCGTTACGTAAGCTGTAAAAGACGATTCTATCATACATAGAAGTAGAAGTTTAATTGTTTTTGCTATTTCTTTGGCTCTCGTGGTTTGCTTTTAACCACAACGGAATTTTTGCTTATTGTGTTTTAGTTTATTTGTATTTTTTGACACTGTTTCTCGTAGTTTAGTTGCCACTTGGCTTGTGTATTAAACGGTTTATTTTCGACGCTCCTAGTTTTATCAGTTTCCATTCCTCATAATTATAGTCTCCATACAGTCCACTATTACTCTTGATAGCAGTATCAAACGAATGTTACATACTAACACATAGACGTTAGAATACATTTGTACGCTGACACGCAGGCCTTCTCATTAATAGAGTTGGGTAACTCAGCAGCAGGTAAGAAATTCCTCGATTTTATGCGATATGGAATTTTTGTATTATTCCTTTGCTACATAAACATAAAAAACTAAAAGATACATGCCCACAACAGCCAGCATCTCTTCAAGTATGTACTGCGCGTTGTTTTTCGACATGATTGCATGTAACAGCACGTAAGGGAGAAAGAGGAATAGCGTTCTGACGTCACGACGCATGCTCGGATGAACTGTGCGCAGGAGTTCACGAATGCTCTCCGATTCCACGAGAGGTATTAGTTGGCCAGCCCAGCTGTAAACAATTATACAAGATATTAATTATCTCGAATTAATTTCAAGAGCATGATAATTGTTATCGAAAGCACTATAATAAAAATTCTAATTAAAATGTATGTACTTACTTGTGAGCCCATTCTAAAAATGTGTTTGCATGCTGCGATCCGAATAACGGATGAGTCTTTTTGGGTTGAGATGGATATGCCAAAGTATATCTGAAACATAAAAACAATAAATTCATAACTATTCGGCCCTTTGGTGTAGTGGTTCAGAACGGACTACTATGCCGAGAGGTCCCGGGTTCGATTCCCGGCCGGGCAGAAATTGAAATGATGAATTTTAATTAAAACTGTGACGGGTCTGGGTATTTTCTATGTATAATTATGTATGTATTTACAAAAAAAAAGTATTTAAGTATGTTTATATCCGTTGTCTAGTACCCATAGTACAAGCTATGCTTAGTTTGGGACTAGAAGGCGCAGTGTAAAATGTCCAAGGATATTTATTTATTATTTATTTATTCTGAAACGTCAAGTGGCAAAAATCAAAAACTAACAACCCAGTATTGATAGTGGCGCCCTCCTGACAATGTCATAGCAGGGACGGTTCAGTCACGGGTTCAGTGTAGGACATCTATACGTAGAAATACAAAATTAACTTAATAAAATCTCTTGATAAAGTGTTTATACCTTGAACTGAGTAAAGGATGCATAATCTGATGCATGTGTTCAGGAAAGCTATCCCAGACATCCTTCTTGCTACCGGTTGGAGATATTTCGTATATCTTCAGTATTTCTTGTATTGTTAGCGCGTAACAATCCATGTTCTAGAAAAAATATAAGCATAATATAGGCATTTGAACGGTACTATCAGTTTATTTCTCATTACGTGATTATTAGTACTAAGAGGCGTGAAAATAGTAACAATAATATAGTAACAATAAAATCGTATTATGAACAACAAGATCATCAGTAGCGGCGTAAGGGGGCGGCGGTGGGGGCGGTCCGCCCCCTTAGGACTTATGACGGGGGGGACAGGGGGGTGATCGCCCCGGGTGCCACATGCTACGCCGCCACTGAAGATCATGACATTTGGTACTTAGTAAATTGGAATTGCTTTTACATAGGTACGGAATTGCAGGCATAAATAACGGTCTGTCTTAGGTCCCGTTTCCACCAAAGATGAGCGGAGCAGAGACGCAACGTGTTGAATAACGTAATAAAACTCATGAAATTCATCATTTTTCTCCGCCGTCGCTGTCAAATTCTATAGAAAAATTTGACGGTCCGCTCCGCTTGGGTGGAAACCGGGCCACAAAAAGACTTCATCGCGCGCTATTAAGGTCATATTGACTACTTTGAATACAACTTAGCTATATTTTTGGATTGCTGCAAAACGAAACTTACCATCGTATCCTTTTCATACTGGAAAGCTCTAGCCAATTCAACCAGTGCGGTGGCAGCGAAACAATTGTCCACTATAGAGAACGCGAAAGGCGATCGGTCCGGTTGTACGTACTGACGAGGAAGGTGGCCCGCTTCTATGGCGCCCAACTGGCCGAGACACCTGCCACTGGCTAGGCTTACTTCGGCGTCGGAGTCTTTGCAACCTGGTTGAGAAATGACATTTAAAGTGATGGTTTTAACAAGCAAGTTAACAGCGAAGACTGCCTTTATTGGTTGTAGAGTTGCACCTTTACTGGGGTTGGATAAAGGTTATGTAATAAAAGGGAAAAATAACATCAAATAAACTCACCTACAAGTAGAGAATCAATAAGCTCCACTATAATAGGATCAATATTCTTCCCGCCAAAAATAGCTTTGTGAATCTCAGTTCTGTTAGTTTTGAGCAGCTTGTCCAAGTGATTAAAGGCATAGACTTTGACTGTCGCTATATCTTGATTCAAATGGTGCAAATACCACTTAATTTTCTCAAGAAATGTATCTGGCTGCGTTCTTCTCACGTGTTTTTTGATCACCATTTTTACTCTTTCAGATATTTTAGTGTCTTCCAAAAAGAACAGATCTGATATGTGCGAGCTCAGCAAATTTTCGTTGCTCAAAACTAGGTATTGAAATATTTTGTTGATTTCTTGAGGAGCATATTCAAACTGCTGTAAAAGGGATACAGCAAGATTGGCCAGTAGCGGTCCTAAAGACACGCTGTCGATGTTATGTATAAACGCTGCCCACGCTTCCGCTAATATATTTGGGAACTCTTTAGCCAATGGCATCGCCGACCTCAAAGTAGCTAACACTTTGAACCTAAGAGGAGTCAAGTACTTCACCCCCATCAGTTGCATTATGTCAGGAAAACTCTTCAGCGCTTTTCGCTTTACTGACAAGGCTACTTTGGCGTTCACCAATTTATGGTCGAAATATGCAAGCACACCGAGAAACTTCGGGTTCAAGAAGTCTGCAATTTGTGATGTACTCATACTCATGCTCGGCGACACAACGCTGCCCGACAAAGAGACATCGGGGTCGTGGCAAGCTAAATATCTGCAAGCGTTCAATACTTTCTCAGGGCTGCAGCAATACTGCAGTAAGAATTCAGTCAAAATCACTCTATAATGCTTTTTGATTAAGGTCAAAATCGAGGTTTTCGTTAATCTCTCTAACAAATCGTAGCACTTTTGTGACACATCAATTTTCTCATTCAAATATACATGGACATAAATGTGAGGAAATCTTTCAGCCAGAAAATCTGAAACTGAGAATTGCACCAAAGATGCTATTTCCTCAATCATTGATGGGATTTCCTTTATAGTGACAGAATAAGGTATGAGGTACGGGAGAAAATGATGAACATCCTTGGATATAAAATCTCTGTAGCCCGAGAAGCCAAACGCTCTTACAACTTTTAGAAGGGCCATCGCAAAATCTTTTCCATTGTTCAAACTGCACTCCACAAAGAGGCGACAGTAGTCTTTCTTGTATCTGTGGTAAATCTGGTTTGGGGTGTAGCCGTGCGCTTCGCACACATCGCTCAGATAACACACAGCTGTAGGACTAACAATACTTTCAGGTTGCATAATAAAATATACCAATAACTTGGTTACTAGTAAAATCACTTTTTCATTCTTTCTTAATCCTAAATCTCTTATCAGAAGCAAAACATCAGATTGCTTGATAAAATCATTACTATCTAGACTTGACCAGGTCGCATTGAACAACAATGTGATGGACGTAGTAAATGCAGTTTCCATATGAGATTCCCGATCTTCGTCTTTGTTCACCTGGAAAATCATAAAGTTTAAGTATAGTTTANTAATCGCCTTAAGAATAAAGTAGATAAGATAATAATAGCCAAAATATGAAGGTAAGTACGTGTACGTAGGAAATGAATAAGTGCCGCCTACCTATATTCTTTTGCTTGATACACAAGGCTGTACATACACTGATTATGTACTATTTGTACATGAGTGTTATTAATTAGGCTATTTATCTTGGCGTTGGTAATTTGTACTTGCAAAAATTGCGATAAGTGATAAACATCTACCTATTAGCGATATTAAAAGCAATGTGGCGAAATACAGGGTGTTTGGCGGAAGGTTAGACAAGCTTCGTGGGTGTATAGGTAAGGTCATTTTAAAAATACAAATTCGCCCATTTGGTCCTAAGTGAGCTACTTCTTTTTTAATCGATATTTTTGTTTTTATTAATTTTTTTCCGAAATTTGACCTAAAAACTGCTTTAATTTTTTTTCTCGCGTGTTTTCAACCGATTTTTATATTTGGTATTAATATCAAATATGTCTTTAGTCAAGTAAAATAATTTCACATCCAGATAATGATTGGATAACTAGTTACGAGCCGCCAAAGTTGAACAAAAGTACAAACCACGATTAACAATTCAACTTAGATTTCGATTAAAAAAAAAATGGCGATAATAATGGATTACCAATGATTATAAAAACATCTCTAACTTTTCTTCTTTCCAATGATATATCACATGTAATAATTAGATATTGAAATTCGTCCAAAATTCAAATTTTATGGAAGAAAATGAAGTAATTATACAAAAATTATCCATACTAAGTTTCTTCAAACATCAATAAATTTTCTGCTATACTTCTTTCATAACATTTTTTGAGTGTTTTATTTCAAAATCAAATTAAAAATTATAATAACCACGTTATGAAAAAAATAATTTAAAAAAAAATTGTGCGCCGACGTAGTCGTCATCGAGAGCTATCTACGTATGGTATGTAGATGATCACTTCAATACTGCAGCTTTATAAGTAGTTGTACAAAATCTCGCTAACGACGTTCAGAAGTCGTCCCATTGAAAAACAGTTCTAAATCCGTATTCACAAGGGTCATTTTGATAGAACGATTACTCGATAGGATCGTAACTCAGCGATATGTTGTCATTGAAGTTTTGTTACGACGTCCCGTTGAAAAACAGTTCTAAATCCGTATTCACAAGGGTAATTTTGATAGAACGATTACTCGATAGGATCGCAACACAGCGATATGTTGTCATTGAAGTTTTGTTACGTCGTCCCATTGAAAAACAGTTCTAAATCCGTATTCACAAGGGTCATTTTGATAGAACGATTACTCGATAGGATCGCAACTCAGTGTTTTGATGTCGTTGAAGTTTTGTTACGTGAATAAGGCTACAGGTGCGATACTGCACCAAAAATGCGTAGTTTAATGTGCTGTTGATAAGTACAATCGCCCGCAAAAACGAATGTGCGATTTTGCTTAATAAAATAAAAATGGGTCAATATAAGAATTACATACATACCAATTCACTTTTATCAATATATGGCTGCAACACTTTTAATATATGTTCCGCATTGTCCACATTTACAATTTCTTGTGGGATTCCATAAGCGAACACATAATAGTGCTTAAAAAGTCTCTCAGCCAGTTCCCAATATTGTGTCTTCTTTATATCGACATATGCCTTCCAATTTAGGAATTTCGCAAATAAGTTCTTAAGGCCTGAAGTGGTAGCATTGTTCCCTGAAGGTTGTGGATTGCTGTCAGTTGATAAAACCTTACTGCATGACTTTTCTTCAGATTCCTTATGGCAATTGGAACATATAATAGAAATATCAAGAGCATCATTGCTAAATATTGGATGTCCCACTAAATCATCTTTCCTGGAAATATGAACACTATAGGTTCCCAATGACATGCAAGCAATAGCTGGCAAGACTTTTGTTATTTCCATTTGCACTTCAGGATCTTTATTGAGAAACATAGGCATCAGAATTTCTCCAATTATTCGACTTGCAGAAAATATTTTTCTCAATAAAATTAAAGGAGTCAATTGTGTCATCTAGAACAAAAAATAACTTTTAAATACCAAACTATGTAATTACTTAAAACATTGCTGTATGCTGTCGCCTGTACTTAAAAAGTTGTGGTGTATAGCATACTAATTTATTAAAAGTACCTGAATATAAATATCACTCGTTTTATTTCTTATTAATGAAGTGACAAGAAACGACATCACTTTTTCCCATTTATCACCAGTTGTCACTTTCAATATAATATCAGTAGTCAACAGATATTTGAGAATCAGTAGCTTTTTGCTGTCATCACAATTGAAGTCACTGGCTGAAAACTTGGGGGAGTTCTGAAGACATAATATTTGCAATATCAAAGCAGTATCATCAAAAGTGATATTGGGACAAAGTATTACTGTACCCAAAGTTATATCCATCATCAACTGTGGTATATCACTACTATTATCTAGTTTGTTATGATGAATCTGCATTAACTTTATCAATGTTTTCCATATTAATATCAAATCACGTTTCTCTAATAAATCCTTCTTTGGAGGCATATTTTCTTTTTCATCATTCTTTTCACTCTGAATGTAAACATTCTGCAATATACTTAATGCTCTCAAACATCGTTGTAAATGGTGTGTAATAACAAATGCATCAATATTGTGATCTTCTATAGATTTAATTTCCAGAATAACTCCAAAAACTTCATTATAAAACCAGTTTTCCTTTAAATCTGCAACATTTCTTTCGTAAAATGATGCAATGCTTTTGGCATACCAATCAGCAACCATTTCAATTTCCCTAGCATCCATGGTTTGCATACGAAGCATGTCTTGAGGAAATTCGATGTTTTTACTAAACGATAAGCACAGCAACACATTTGCTTTACTGAAGATTTTTGAATTCTTCAAACTGTGAATTAGAGTACAAATATGACTGGTGATTTCACAGTATTGGTTTTCACAGACCAAGGGTAATCTTAAGAGATCCCCAATTAACAGGTTGAACAAGTTTAAATTCATAGCATCTAGTTCACCTTTGTCATACAGTATGTTGACTGTAATTACCATAGCACCCACTGAATGCATTAAATCTTCAATGATGTCTGGGAAAATATTATGGAAATCTTCCATTGCAACTTTATTGTAGTTATTTAATAGAGATGTAAAGAACTTTAATGATGCCAATTTTAAATCAATGCTGTAATGATCAAACATGTACAGTATTTTTTCAAATAATGCTTGATATTCCTTTTTAATGTTGGGTCTGTTTATTCGAATAGCCTGGTGAGGAATACTTTCAGCAAGAAATTGCAACGTTAAATCAATCAATCTTTTATCAGTTTCAATGTTATCGACACTGACAAATATTGGTTCTAGATTGAGTTGACCATTGGGAATGTTAATGTGTTCCGGTATAAAGTTTTCCAAAATCATACTTTTCGTTTCACTGTTGTGGTTACTTTCATCTTTATAGTATTCTATTAGTTTCACCAATATATTGGAGTATTGTGAATGAAGTGTATTGTAGAAAGATGCATCATTCACACTTAAAATACTCAAGATTTTCAACTGAGCATCTTTACTTGTCAAATGTATTCTGTAAATGCAAGATGAATGGTGTTTATTTACTTTCATTTAAATGTAACAGTTTAATAAACCAATACCTTGTTTTTGAGGGGCTTAAATACTTACTGCTCTAGTTCTTTTACTGACCAAACATAAAATAGTCTACCTAATAGCCAAGTGTTAAAGGAACTGTAGTATGCATCAGGATACTTTGTGGAACCAGGCCTGGGTACCAAAACCTCTGAGGAGTCCCTGAAACCAGATAAACATTTAAAAATTGTTAAGGTTATGATTTTAATTTAAGTAATCAAATCATCATTAAGTTTCGAATTTCGTTAATAAATGTTTGAAATCAAGAAATAATAAAAGATGTATTTCTATAGTCCGGTCGCCGAGCACGTAGAATTTCGTCCAATGAACCCAAGCTACCCATCCTTATTGCTCGCGTGTAATTATATTGCTATAGTAAGGAGATAGATAGTGAGAAAATTTCGACGGGTTTATCCAGTGTCTAAGTAGCTCAAAAGGAAGAGCAGTCGCCTGGCAAGCGAACGGTCGTGGGTTCGATTCCCGCCTTAGGCAGATCGATTTTTTCAAGTTGTTTATAATTTTCAAAGTAGTGAGAGGTACTGAAATTACTTACCCAGAGAGTTTCAAAATAGATGTTAATAATCTTTCAAGCCCATCTCCGGCTTGTTTTAAATTATTGAATAAAACCACAGTCGGCGCGTAAAACATGTGCCATACAGTGAAAGGTCCATCGCTGTTATCTTCGTCCATAACGAATTCGTATTCATGCCACAACTATAAAACTGAAACGAACTCGTCTTCAACTCGGGCTACAAGATCGTGAACAGTGATAATAATTCAACAATATAAAACAGAGAAAAGATTAAAATTTAAAAACCTGAAAACCTAAATAAAAAACAAAGGTACGTAATGTGACAGATGACAGTATTGACAGTGTCAGTGACAGACGTGACATATGACAGTTCACTATTTTTTTAAAGCGTTTTACGGCACGGGTCTAAGTCCTTCTCACAGAGCAAAGTAATACATTGGTCCTTCTAGCCGACGGGCCATGGATGAGCCTGGGCCTATCGATAGTCTGACAATGGGGTTAATGCATGCAGAAAGGGTTTTGCAATGGCCAATCATTCTACGAGAATAACCGCCCAAATAACCGTTCCCGTGAGTTTTGAAATAAAACCGCAATCAGGGCTTTCGTTTTAGCGCTCACCAGTTAGCGCCACTGTAGAGTAAGGTCCTGTCATTTGCTAGTAGCGAAGACAGTGGCACCAACTGGTGAGCGCTAAAGTGGTAGGAGGACTATCGCATTTGCACTCATCAAGATGGCGCCACTGTAGAGTAAGGTCCTGTCAATCGCCAGGGGTGCCAACTGTTAAGTATAAAGGCACTGGGTCTCTATCAGAAGGAACTCTAGGGGTGGAATCTCCATAGGCGTGGATTAACGGGCAAGGAGATAATATCTTGGATGGTCGACAATCACTTTTCCTACAATTTAACGTTCCACCAAACTCAACACGCTCTCCTAGATAACCTCGCAGCCGCCTGCTCACACTTGACATGACACAACTCAATGACAGTTATCTTTTTCTGCGCATCAGTCGGGTGTTACGTTTAGGAATCACAAACCTTCCGCTCTACAGATTTATACAGATAACATAATATTAAGATTGGTACTATTAATCATCAATAATCATTTGCAGCATCTAAGTATCAATCATGGTATACCTACATAAATATTAATAATTCGTCCTAATAAATAAGTAGGTAATTAGTAATTATTATTCTGCTTTTTAGTGTAGGTTTTTTGGAGTCGGTTTTATTTTTTTTTATAAAATTTAACTTATTTCAAGGAGACATCAAGTATCAAATGATATTCAGTTGATAAATAATACAGATAAAAACTTCGTAATATAAGTCAAAGAAAAATCAACAAAAAACAAAACATGTAATTCTCTGCGCTGAAAATATTCCTAATCTGTAGCGTACACGGACCTTTAAATCTATTATGTGGCCTCAGCACTAGTCCATCAAAGGAAATAATCCCGAAAAAGGTTCTGTAGCTGACAATGGAGTCCCACCCCAAGACTTCCAGTGAGTGCATCGCCTCTGGTAATACGAGGCAGTAGTAATTGCCTCCGACACTCTGCCGACTGCGGGATTCAAGTAGCGCATAAAGAGTGACTGCAACTTGAACTTGCATTTCATATTCTTGTCTATGAGAGCCTAAGTTTAGTTGATAGCTCTTACCGTCTAGAGTGGCAATTGCTTATTGTTGCAAGTAAGTCACAAAAGTCTCAATTTATGGGTATTACAAGTTGCAAATGAAATATAACGATGGTTCAAGTTGTATTATTTTTTGAGGCCTTAGGCCCGGTTTCCACCAAAGGGGAGCGGAGCAGAAATATAAAATATATTTATAAAAATATCGGGCCGTCAAATTTTTGCGGTGGCGGCGCGGAGCGGAGAAGAGAAGTGGAAATAATGAAATATGATTGGTTATTCAAAACACTTCTCCGCTCTACTACGCCTTGGTGGAAATTACAAAACGTTCAATTTATCTAAATCCAAAAATAATATTACTATGATGACAGAAGTTATGTAATTCCCTGGAACAAAATTTATTTTCACATAAGCATTGTAGGAGTTTGCAGTCTAGTGAAATAAGAATAAATTGACCATACAATAGGAAATTGCACAAAGTGAATTAACAGAAAGTGCATAAAAGCAGTTGCAAAAAACATTACTTGCACAAACACGGTTGACACTAACGACTCATCAGAGGAACGCGCAAGCAATTATTAACCTAAATGACATGCAAATAGACTGTAACAAGATGTCGTAAAGTTTATATCGGTTTTCTAAGTTTCCTTATTATGATTTCTCAAATCCCTGCTAATATTATAAATACCAAAGTAACATTGTCTGTCTGTGTGTTACGCTTTCACTCTTATACCACTGAACTGATTTTGATGAAAGGTTAATGGAGACGATTTCGTTTTTTTGTGACAGACACAATTTCAATTCAGGCCGCAGGCATAAGCTAGTTTATTGATAACTGTAAGACTAGGTGCAGACCACCGATTTTTAGTTGGCCGATAGTTGGGCCCGATTTAAATTTGTATGAAGAATCGGCCAAATCAAATCGGTGTAATGCACTTCCATACATGCCCATACTGATCAACTGCCCGACTAAACTATCGGCCGAAAAATCGATGGTCTGCGCCTAGGCTAAAAGTGTGAGTGCCTTGACATTTCTTTTCAAATAAGTAGGTACTCTTGTGCAACTAGAAATAGAGAAAAATTTCCGATTCGAACTTGTCTAGTGAAAATCAAATCAACCTATTTTTACGATGTCTGATTCGACATTTTTCGAAGGCTAATTGTCAAATAAATTAAATTAGTCGGCAGCACTGAATCTTTGGCACTCATAATAATAATATAACGTAGTTTTAAAGGATATATTTTCAGTCTTACTAAAATAAACTGTTGAATAAATTATGACGATAATTAATAAATCCTTATCCAAAATTACTTTTAATTTAAATTCTTTTCTAGTCTCGCCTTTTTTAATTTTTTCACCAAGTAGAAAAGAACAGCCATTTTCAAGTCACTTCAAAAACTATAACATAACCAACATGTAAAACTATTTACACAACACAACGTAGAAAACTTCGCCGTAGCGCGAGGCAAACGTGTGTACGCGTGTTGAGATTGTATCAACGCTAAACGGTATTCTACATACAAATGTTAAGCTCCAACTTTGTGTTATCACGAGAATTTACTTTAAAAATGTACATGTAATTGTAGTTTTCTTTTAGAAGTTTCTGCGTTCAGTGAACGTAGAGTTCACACACACATTATGTAAATTACAGTTTACAAAAGTGTTTTTTCCCATTGGAAAATTGTATGGTAAAATAGCTCTACGTAATTTGATGATATTATTTGCCGATGATAGTATACAGTGTGAGTCACGTTAAAGTGTACATATGAAAATAGATGAAACTAGACCTATTTTTATCGACAAAAAAGAGGTCAAAAAATTTTTGAGATTTTTTTTTAATTTTTTATAGATTTTTTTTTCTTCCAATTACGTATTGTATAGAAAACGTAATAACTTTTAAACTAAGCGGTATATCCTGATAAAATAAAAACAGTGATAATGCTAAATAACAGGCGATACTAAAAAAATACATAAAATACACAAAAAATGCCAACAACTAATATAAAATGATACTTTTTGAAAAAAATCTGCTTAAAAATTCGTGTTTTTTTGGTTATTTCATAAATTTCTTCAAAAAATGCCCTTATAACAGGTGATTTTTATTGTTTTTTATTATTTTCTATCGTATTACCTTTTTAAAACCAAAAATTTCATGTCTCTATCCCTATCACAACATTTGCTATGATAGTTTGAACAAAGGCCTACCACAACATTATTCTCCTCTACAGGTAGGGACAATTTTAATTTTAACTAAAATGCTTATTTTACTTCGAAATCTTTTGTTTTTACTTGAAATCTAACTTGACTTTACCAAAATTGCAAATCTAGAGCCATTTTCAGTTTCGTTGTTAGCGAAGCGTTGAATGGCGCGCCCGGAGAGGCTTAGTTCAAACGATCATAGCAAATGTTGTGATAGGGATAGAGACATGCGATTTTTGGTTTTAGAAAGGTAATACGATAGAGAATAATTCAAAGTAATAAAAACCACCTTTTATAGGGGCATTTTTTGGAGAAATTTATCAAAAAACCAAAAAAACACGAATTTTTAAGCAGATTTTTTTCAAAAAGTATCATTTTTTATTATTTGCTGTCTTTTTCTGAGTATTTTATGTATTTTTTTAGTATTGTCTGTTATTTAGCATTATTACTGTTTTTATTTTATCAGGATATACCTCTTAGTTTAAAAGTTATTACGTTTTCTTTACAATAAGTACTTGAAAGAAAAAAAATTCTATAAAAAATTAAAAAAAAAACTCAAAAAAATTTTGACCACTTTTTTGTCGATAAAAATAGGTCTAGTTTCATCTTTTTTTATATGTACACTTTAACGTGACTCACACTGTATACTTATTGCTGGACTTGTCGTGGATGGTACTCGTAGTTTCTTCCCCTAAGGAGCACCATAGAGCATGATATTTTTTATCTTCTTGAAGTCGAGTCGATCTATCGAAACCTTGAATTTTCTATTTAATATCTTTATAAATGGGCTTTTAAGCTTAAACCCTGTTTTACAAAGCAAGACCATAACGGCCAATTGTTAGAAATTCCAAGTCATTTTCAGCCTATCTAGTCTATCAAAATCAAGCAGACTGAGCTTTTTAATCAGTTAGGTTAACCCTACACTGTCCAAACAGTACACTCGTCTAATGGTTTTATACCAAATACCTTAATATTCTCTAGAAAAAGTTTCATTTCACATTTCAATTAACCCCCGACCTATCAGAGTAAAGCGAGTACTTGTCGGACAAATCGTTTCGATCTTAATAGACTGTCATTAGCGGCTTTATTTGCAATATTATAATGGATTTTGAGTTAAATACGAACCACTCCATCACTCTGAATCCAACTTTAACCGAAGCTCTTAAAGTCCATTTTGGTTAGACGAGTTTAATAAACTTCACAATGAAAGGCAAATTATGAAAGCGTGGATTGGCAAATTAAAATTTTTGACGTGTTTACTTTGAGTTCACAATTTTGAACTCAAATTGCCGTGGCTAATTTAGCGTATTCACAAGTACTAACTAAGATGTTTAATCGTACCTAATTGCTTCTCGGGTTTTTAATAACACGAGTATTTAACCTAAAATAATGTTTTAGAGCAAGTAAATTGTGAATTTGCTGGGACAATAGCAGTCACATTACCTAAGTGATTTGAGAACTCAATCCAACAGTTATAATGATATGAAGACGTGACTATTTTTGGATTTATACTTAGTAGATTAATGCCCGTTTTCACCATTAATCCCTAATTTTTAAGTGACCTCTATGAAAACAAAATTCCTGTTAAGTGGTAACATAGGGGTCACTTAAAAATTAGGAATTGATGGTGAAAACGGGCTTTAGAATCTCCCACAAAACAATTGGTATTATTTAATAATTTAAAAGTCCAAGAGTGCTTGACTAATAATTTTGGGAGCATGTTATTTGAAATCATTATGTAGATTCTGACCAACTTTTGTAAAATTTTGCACGAAAATTTAATTAAGACAGTCTTGTTT